TTAGGAAGAAAAACCTTAAGAACACGACCAAATAGCCCAGAAAAGGCACAACAACCATCACTAGAATACAATATTTAAGCCGTCTATTGTGATGCTTTCTTATCTTCTGTCTGATATATAACACCGGAGAGATTAACTCTGAGGCATTACTACTTCTTTGGTAACAATAGTAACAGCTTTAGCAGCACTTAGTTTGCTGACAGTGGGCCTCAGATAGAAATAACCTTTTCGCTCCTCAGTTAATCTTTATGATTATACAATATGATATTATGTAGCACATTTTTAAAATTTATACAGCAGTTAAAATTATTTTTTCTCAGAATACACTGTAGTAGTACTGTGTTTCCCCCAAAATCAGTCAGGGTCTTATGTTAATTTTTGCTACAAAACAGCACCAACCTTTAGGACTTATTTTCAGGGGATGTTTTATTTTTTCATGTACAACAATCTACATTTATTCAAATACAGTCATATCATCTTCTTCTGGTTGCTGCACTATGGTGGAGGGCGGGGTTTCACTTAACTGGGGCTTATTTTTGGGATAGGGCTTATATTACGAGCATCCTGAAAAATCATACTAGGTCTTATTTTCAGGTTAGGTCTTGTTTTCGGGGAAACGGTATCTGGACTGGAGTATCTATAGATTCTGAGGCACTACCATGTCAGTCGTTTTTCAAAATACAGATGCTGTTCTGAGAGTACATCAATGAATATAATGAAGTATCTGTTTTATCTGTGATATGATGAAATGCACACATACCGTATTTTTCCGTGTATAAGACTATACTTTCGTCTAAAATCTATAAACTAAAAATTGAAGCTCGTCTTGTACACAGAAGTAAGCTGAGGAGAAAAAACAAGTGGAGGGGAAAGCAGGGATCAAAGTGATCCTGCAGGGCTTTGATCCCTGCTTTACTCTCCACTTGCTAAGCCTTAGCAAAAGGAAAGCAGGGATCAAAGTGCTGCAGGATCGCTTTGGTCCCTGCTTTCCTCTCTGCTTGCTAAGTCCCATGGGGCTTAGCAAAAGGAGGGGGGAAGTATCAAAGCGATTCCATAGCTGAATAAGGGGGAAAGGGATCAAAATGATTGTGCAGTCGTGGAATTGCTTTGATCCCTTTTCTCCTGCTTTTGCTAATCCACGTGGGGCTCAGCAAAATGGGAGAAAGCAGGGATCAAAGCCATCCTGCAGCATTTTGATCCTTTTTATCCTACATTTGCTAAGCCCCACTTAGATTTCTTAATTTTGGGTTAGAAAAGTGGGGGTGTCTTATACATGGGGGCATCTTATACATGGAAAAATACGGTAAATACTTTGATATAACAGTATGGCCTTCAACCAATCACATAACTGCAGCACAAAGTATTTACCGTATTTTTCCATGTATAAGATTGCTATTCTATAACTAACAAAATGCTATTTGTTTTATTACATTTTTTTTTACATTGGCATCGTATTTTTCCTACATTGAGCTCAAAACACTGTCCCTCTTTCTCCTTCTCCTACTCTAGCCTCATAACAAGCCCAATGAAGCCGAGAGACTGATTGGTCCAAAGTCACCCAGTGAGTTTCATGCAGTGGTAGAGATATGACCTGCAGTCTTACTCCAACATTGTAACTACTGCACCATTCGAGTCACTCCAAAAATAATGCATGCCACATAGCTATCTGAGAGGTGGAAGAAAAGAAAACCATTCAAAATGCTAAATTATATCACAGACCAAAAAGAATAAACCTCTAATTGAAAAGATAGCCTTTGGGAACAGACGTGTTTACCGTTAAGCTGAACAGAAATTCTTGTAGAAGGAGAAAATGAAGAACTAGCCATTCTTACTTTGTTTCAGTTTGTCCACACTGGCATATAGACTGTTATATGGATCTCTGTCAATACTGTTTGGTGGAAAAAGACTTGCATCAACATGTGTTTCTACTTAGAAAAATCCATGTTTCCCCTTTAATAGCTGTTGCACACCTTTCTGGCACAGAGCTAGGGCATTTATTTTTTGGAACAATTTAGCATGATCCAAAATTGCTCTGTGTTTAGTCTACATGAATGGGTACCTTTTGTCAAAATGGCAGTAGGGTGATGTTAGCCATGGTGACAACCCTGTGACATATTAGGTGAGTCGTGACATTAAAGGGAATGTGGAGAAAGGCATCCCAGTCCCCGAATGATAGCTGAGAGAAAAGGGGTGGAAGCTGTATATGTTGACTCAGCAGGCTGTGGGTAGCAAGGCAGCTCCCCCTTGAGCACAGTCTCAGCAGAGCCCCAACTGTGGAAAAAGGCAAAAAGGGAGTTTACTTCCCTTCAGTCTCCCCAACCTTCATACCAATTTTTCCCCTCATGCTGCAGCTATCCTCAGCTTCTGTTGCTGCTGCCTCCTTACTTGTGAGTAAACTCGGTAAACTTTGCTCTCTGTGGACCTGTAGCATGAGGGAAGAGGACCTGTTGTATGATCTCCAGTGGGGATGGAAGGATTGCTCAGGTGGGAGTTAAAAACAGATTGCACTTAAGATAAGAACCTTTTGAGCATAGACCAGACCACACCAAATGTACCAGTGTGGACCGTCCTTTGTATAGTCAAGCAGTCAGTCTGAGGCTGCTTAGATTTTGTAGCCTTTGACTCTAGCCAAAAGAGAGAGGGAGAAAGACAGAAGCGGCAGTCGGCATCATTACTTTTTTTAGAATATGAGAGGGAACTATCCTGCATTGTCCCTTGCAAGGCATTTTATTTTTCCTGAGTGGAGAAAAAAAAGCAAGAGTCTTCATATAGCATATTGTATTTTTCCATGTACAGTTGTGCCTTGCTTAGCGATCGCTCCATTGAGCGACGAAATCACTTAGCAATGCTATTTGTGTGATTGCAAAAGTGATCGCTTTGTGATGGTCCCTATGGGGATTTTTCGCTTTGCGATGATTGCGGGGAAGCAATCATGGCAAAGTGACCCTTTTTGCACAGCTGATCGGTGGTTTCAAAATGGCTGCCGGGAAAAAAAATGGCTGCTCGCTGTGTTGCCTCACTTTAGAGGCACCGAAAATGGCTGCCCCTATGGAGGATTTTCGCTTACAGGTGAGTTTTTAAGCCCATAGGAACGCATTAAACGCTATGGGCTTTTAAAAATCGCTTAGCGATGAAATCGCTTAGCAATGTTTTTTCCTGCACGGATTAACGTCACTAAGCGAGGCACCACTGTATACGACTCCCAATATATAGGACAAGCCCCTAATTTTACCCTTGCCAGAGGTGGAGGAGCCGTCAATGGGCAGCAGCAAGAGGTGGCTGAATGAGGCTGCTTCTTTGCCTCCGCCTTCGCCGCCTCCTCCTGCTGAGCCCGTGAGTGGTGCAGGAGGAGGAGACTGCAGCAGCAGGAGGAGGTAGAGATGGAGGCAAAGGAACAGCTGAGCTCGGCCACCTCTTGCTGCTGCCCATTGACTTGTTGCTGCCGCTGTCCAATTGCAAGGAAACAAATCACTGGAGGGGGTGATGGGGTGGTGCTGGCAGCAGTAAATGGGCAGCTACAAGAGCATTTGCCTCAGTCTGACTTCCATGTATAAAACAACCTTCAATTTTTCCTCTAATTATTTTAGGAAAAAGTGTCGCTTTATACACGGAAAAAATACAGTACTTATATTTGTTTCCTACATGCAGCTTACTGAATAATAGTTTGAATACCGTGGCTATAGGAAGGAAGGCTGTAGAAATGGTAGTTCTTTTGTAGAAAAGGTCTACCAAAGAGCAGCAGGAATAATGTTGTGTCTGCTGTGATGTTCTTTATGAAGGCTAAATAAAGTAGAAGTGGTGAAGATAACATTTTGCAAGTAAGCCTCATTTTTTTTCCAGATTTAACCTACAAAGCAAGTGTATGTTGTTTACAAAGTCGTTTTTTGTTGTTGTCTTATAATTAGCAGAACTACTGTATCTATTGCTCTGTACCGGTGGTTCCCAATCTTGGGTACCCTTGGTGGTCTTGGACTGCAACTTCCAGAAACCCTGACCAGCACAGCTGGTGGTGAAGGCTTCTGGGATCTGCAGTCCAAGAACACCTAGGTTACTCAAGGTTGGAAGCTACTGCTGTACATCATTTGTGAGGAAATAGTTATAGATTTCTGGATGGTTTCTCTGAAGTTATTTTAATATATTGATTTGTCTGTATAGTGACATGATTTCTCATGCAAACAAAGCCCAAACAGTGCCCTTTGTATTACACAAAGATCGCCTACAAAACAAAGATATCTAATTTGCAAACTATAGGAGATGTGAAAAACTCCTGATAAACAAATCCTTCTTAAAAATTTCCTCTTCAAATAACATGCTTTCTCTAATATGTAACACTCATTGGTTGACTTCCTTTTCACTTCTTCTCACGAACTAGATAGTTGAATGTTCTGAACAGGTTTGCTACACTACTGAAATATTTTTCATTTCTTCCAGCCCCATCTGCTTTGATATGATTGAGGAAGCATACATGACAAAATGTGGACACAGCTTCTGGTAAAGTTTGTTGACAAAACTGTATAGTATAACGTTATTTACTGATTTATAAAGCTGGGTTATTTGTAAAGTTAAGGGTCATGAACTAAGGTTTGATTCTTAAGATACATCCATTAAATTAAGTGGATTTTGACCAAGTGGCATGGAATGACACTTTAAATTGAATGAAATTTTCATGGGTGCATCCTTGGGATAATGTGAAAGTTTATGCAGTCCTGAACTTCCTACTGTAACTAACTTTTAGATCATCTTCATAGACCAAATTTCCAATAAAGGAATTAATCTGCATTTTGGAAATGGTGTCCATTGCATACCAGCTGAAATATACGGCTCAAGTGTTTTTATAACAAAAACTCTGGTCAAGCATCCATTATATGCAGGCTCATTCTGTGTGTTTATGCCAGAGAGATGTTTGAGATATAGCTTTGTAGTTAATATTAATACTGTCTGTTTCCCTCTGCATAGGAAATTGTCTTATGTTAAAAGAGCAGGTTTGGATATAATACTGGAAAAAAAATCAGTCTCTTGCTTTTATTTGTTGAGTTTTACCTAGAAAAAATATTGCAAGACTTCTCTTTGTCTGGGATTTACTCAAACAGTAAAGTAGACACCACTCAGTAATATACAATTTTTTACTTACAAATGGTATAGTAAAAAAAATTGATAATTGGAGCAAAACAAGAAACTCCATTAGTATTACAAATCCTTTTTAAAATCAGGTAGAAGGCAGTGGAAGACAGGAGGTACTAGTGTGCTCTGGTCCATAGGGTCACAAAGAGTCAGATATGACTTAATGACTAAACAAGAGGAGCCATTAGTTATCACAAAATAGATTTGTAAGTGTGTGTTAGCAAGAATCCAATTATTTATGTATAGCGGCCGGCATAAGTCACAATGGCAGGTTGTTGCTAGTAAAGAAGTTAACTTGTATTTCTTGTTGCATGACGGTCGCATGACTTGACATGCAGTTAGAACTATAAGTGTTGGCTTATTAACTACTGGTGATTTCCAACTGATGTATGGAGACACTGCTAGTAGTGAAAAGCTGAAAGCATCTACATTTAATGTACATCCATTCTTTGGCTACCACCCCGCACCTCCCATATTTAATCAAGGGAAGGTTTTCTCAGTACATCTGGGAATCTTGAATAACAGAGTATGCTGAGACTATAATTAGAAGAGAACTACTCTAGGGAAGTTTAGCCCCAGTCACATGTAGAATTATGTTACTTAAAAGCCATTAATAGGCTGTGGACTAGAGCTGGCAGAATGAAGACAAACCTAAGGAAATTTGTCTTTTGCATCAAAACATTTCTTTGTGAGTGTGGAGAGGAAAAGGTGACTTCATGGCTTTGTCAGTATACTCTGTGTCCCTCAACATGTCCTATGAAAGACTTGATGTTAGCTGCCTCCAGATGCTCTTGATGTTGCCCATTACTAAGTAGAAATTATCTGATAAATTTATTAATAATACTGTGGTGCTTCTGACACAAAGACAATATTTTCCAATGTGATACAGTATGTCATCTTTTGTTAGCAACAGCCCTTGTTATACAGGACAAATGGGCCAGTCTTTATACAAAAGAATAAGTAAGTACAATCTGATACAGTATTTAAAACAGTAATACAGTATACAAACACAAGTGGGGGAACACTTCTATCTCCCTTTCCTCTCTGTGATCTAAAGGTGTGATTCTTGAACAAAAGAATATCAAAGATAGATTCTAAAGGGAAAAAATCTGAACAAGAATATATCAAGGTATTTAAGTCTTCCTGTTTGGCACAGAGACACAGGCTCTTTCCTTCATTGCACATATTAATCAGTTCATCCAGTTAGGTTTGTTTATATTGCTGCCATTCTGCTGTATGTTTTATGTCAATTATCTGGATTATTTTTTTGTGTTTGTAAACAATCTTGTTTCTTCTTTACTTTCTAGCCCATCAGTGCTGGAAGCCAAAATCTTTTGTAAAATTAAGAATTAAACATTTATATTAAGCTTTTCCTCAGCCAACATGTGTTTATCTGCTTGCCTCTGTTGAAATGGAACACTGATTAACAGTCATAATGCTGGATGTTTTGCATTTTTATTACATTTCATGTTCCCACTCTCCCCAAACTATGAAAGGTCTGTTTACTAGGTCCATAGATATGAAGAATGGGGCAGTAATCCATGAAATCCTATGCCTAAAAATGTTCTTATTAACATTCTACTTACAGTGGGGTCTTGATTTAAGAACGGCTCGAGTTAAGAACATTTTGACTTGAGAACCACTCTCATAGGAAAATATTGACTTGACTGAAGTACTTAGATTTGAGTTAAGAACTGAAAAAAAACCACGTGGGAGGCAGGGAAAGTGCAAAATTTGAACTTTCAGTTAACTGTTGGCCAGTGAAAAGGGTGCCTGTCTGCTGCCTCACTCCTCCCAGCGTTTAGAGAGTGGATTGGGAGTCTTCAGACTGCCTGGTACTGCCTGGACTGTATTTTCCCTGCCTTCCCTGAACCTTTCTTGACCTAAGAAAAAAAAGAAACAAAATATCCCCCCTCTAGTGGTCGAAGGCAGAATAGCAGCTTCCCATTAGTTTCTATGGACGGAAAAGAGCAGATACGGATCAAATGGTTTTCAATGCATTCCTATGGGAAATGCAGATTTGACTTGAGAACTTTTTTACTTGAGCACCGCCTTCCAATACGGATTAAGTTCTCAAGTCAAGACCCCACTGTATTCTACTTAACCCTGTCCCCCACAACATTGGTGACTTTTATCCAGTTATGTATTTTTGGTGGACAGGCATTTCTGTGATCCACTGGAAACTTCTGACAGTCCTTCTGCTCTCCCCTCCCCCCCTTTTGCTTGCAAAGATCTCTATTGAATAAAAAATATTTTGTGAACAACAGGAGACAACTGAATATCTGTGACTGTTCACTAAGAATGGGCAGTATTCTGAAGAAGAATGAGAGTGTGAATGAAGTTCTTCATCATCACTGTGAATTCATACTTATGGGTCGTTTCTGTACCTGTATGGGCACTCCTTGGAACATTCTAGAGCTTAACAACCAACTGGTAAAATACGCCCCCCCCCATGCATGTGTTCATATCCCACCTCCTCCTTCAGTTCTCTTTAGCTGCTGCTGAGGAAGCTTCTGGGAATGTTAACTAAAGCTTTTTTGTCTATCTGTGGAAATGCCTACTTGTGCCATTTTTCCATTATCGTCATCCTTGTCCTTCTCTTGTTTGTGAATCCTCTAAAAAAACTTTGTCCCTTTGTTCATTGTTTTGAGTCCCCCTTCCTCCTGAGGTCTTCCCACCTTTGCTGTTTTTAGGCCTTCCCACTCTTTATGGCCCCAAGAGAGCCTTTTAAAAAGTATATAAAATTCCCCTCACTGACAGCCATTCAAAGCTTTTGTTCTGCTTTGGTGAGTGGCACCAGATTAAATCTTGCCAATATTATAGGAAATTTAAGGAGGTTGCTGTCAAAAACAGGCAATCCTGCTGAAGATTCCAGCTTTGGGAAAAATACCTTCAGGCAGTCAATTTGTTGTCTCAGGAAACATCAGGTGTTCTTCGTGGTCTCTTTGAATGCACACTGGTTTAATCTGGGCCTGCACAGAGCAGCCTAAGAACTTTCCAGAACTCAAGGACATGGTGCTGGGACTTCCCACATGCTGCCTTTAACCCCACCCCCAGCACTGGGTGCCTCAGTTCCTTTCTTGCTGCTGCTGCAGCAGCACCTCGTTAGGAATGTCCGTGCTTCGTTCTGTACTTACCTTACCTTACTATTGGACCTCCCTGGCTTTTCTTCAGGTCAACTTTTCTTCTTAGTGAGATGGAAAAAAGAATAAAAGTGGACTGTTAGTTGGTGGTAGGGGAGCTATAACGATTGTTTATGGCCGCTCTGGGCCTCTTTAAGAGGTGTGAGTCCTGTCCTAACAAGATTGCCCTTTCCAACGGTCACTCTTGTTGTTTGTTCTGTCTTGGCGAAGAGTACCAGCTGTCCCTGTGTGGAGTTTGTAAAAACTTTACTAAACTGGCCCTTAAATTGACGCTCCAATGCCTCTGCCCATTTTTGTGGGAAAGGTCCTTGTCTCCCAACCCAAGGAACCCTCATGGAATCACTGGGGCAGATCGGCATTCTCGAAAGGTAGACATTGTATACAAGGATATAACTCAAGACCAGACCCTGCCTCTTCGGCTGGGTTTTATACTGTCCTTACAAGACCTTATGAGGGAGTAATGGGTCAAGCCTTCCTCATCCTATCAAATCCCCAGGAGGGTGGAAAACCTTTATAAGACTTATGGTGAGAACACGAAGTTTCTGCTGAAACACCCTTTGCCGAACTCCTTTGTGGTATTGATGTCACGCAAAATAGGGCGAGGAACTGATTGACGCCAAATAACAAGGAGAGCCGCAAGCTGGATGTTATTGACCGGCGTATGTATTTTTTGGCCTCTTCTGTGCTGAGAGTGGTCAATTACTCAGCTGCCATGGGGGCCTATCACCACCACCTATGGAATTGGGTGCTACCACTCTTGAAGCGGCAACTGAGGATGTCCAGGGACATGGATTCTTCTACCATCATGAGGCAATGGGCTTGGCTCATCAGGAGCGGATTGCTGCTAGGCACATTTTAGATGCGGCTTCTAAACAACTGGCCATTGTGCTCTCCCTACGCTGCCATGCCTGGTTCTGCTCAGCAGGAATTTCTGAGGATGCAAGGGAAAAGATTGAGGGCCTGCCATTTGATGACATTGGCCTGCTTGATAAAAAGACAGATGAAATTCTTGACAACCTGCTGAAGCTCAGGAAAACGGCCAGATCCTACTCTAATTAACAGTCCCACCCTGGTGCTGGCCTCACCAGTCAAGAAATTTCCAGGATCGCCAGAGGCCTCAGACCTCAGGTTTTTCATCCTCATCTTCTAGGCAAGTTGGCAGGCAGCACCTTCCACAGCAGGTGCGTTGCCCAGACCGGAAAGCCAGGCAACCTCTTTAACACTCAT